GTCGGATTATTCGATAATAATTTAGTCTCTATAAAATTAAAGATAAATATTAAGATATGAAATTATCCTTGTTTCGACAAGAAGGACAAATTTAATATTTGACATTGGTAATATCGTTTCTTTTTGTCTAACCTGATACGAATAATAACATACAATAATCTAGTGATAGTTTGTACCTCGACTAAATGCATCATTACACACAAATAATACAAATGAAAACAAGCTGACATTCGATCTTTATAAAGCCTTTATTTGCATATGAAATATATATCTAACTCCGATAAAACTATCATGTGGTATGTTTATGTGCTCATCAATTTCATGCAAAGTACGATAGTACAGAAACAATGAGGAGAAAAGACTTTTATCCGGGTTTATATATAATTCAAAGAAAGAAAATGAAACCTTTTTCTGTAAAAGCTATTTAAGTTAGTTGATTATGTTGAGGAATAGTTCATATAAACAGAATTGCTTCAACTGACATCTTCATGCGAAAAGAAATATGCTCTCAAACATATGAGGAGTATTTTATAAAATAAATCTTATCGCATGTCGTCACAGACTTAGATATTAACATGTACAGAGAGACACCATAGAAAATAAATCCATTCTCATACGGGTCTTCTAATGTGTCGGAAGGTTTAATCATTAAGACGAAGTATTTAATCGTTGTATCAAATATCATTCAGTGTTATTGTTTGTTATTATTAATAGAAAAGCGACTGCAAATCTTTAACTCAGGAATAAGAGATATGTAGGTTTGTAGTGAAATTTTTTCTCTATCGAATGGTATATATACCATCGAATTCTGTTGAGTACCATAAAAATCGATTTTTGGCTTGAATTCAAGCCAATTAGAGACCTGTATCGGAGTCAACTAAATCTCTTGTCTATAATTCATTTTTTGCATTAAATTTTTTTCTGAAATGAAGGTTTTGCTCTCTAATGTTTTATTGAGGTTGACGGACACAAAAGAAGGATGGATGCATGTCTCTAACTGGCTTGAATTCAAGCTAAAAATCGATTTTTACGGTACTCAACAGAATTCGATGGCATATATACCATTCGATAGAAAAAAAAATTCTCTACAAACCTACATATCTCTCATTCCTGGTTAAAATTTTACTATCAAATTTGTAGTCGCCATTGAATGAAAAGAATAGAAAATTCTTAGTTTCAAACTATTTAACACTATTCATGCGGGTTTTTTAACACTTCAATCCATGCTTATTACTCCTACTTTTCATTTCCTTTTGTTTTAGTTTTAGTTTAGTTAAAAAATGTGATCGTCTCTTTCTACACACTAAAATAATAAATAGCAAAAAAACAGCGTTATTAGTTATTATTTTAATACTCTTTCATTCGAAAATAAAATATAAATGCCTAATAAAAAAACAAGAAAAAACAAAATTAAATATACATAACAATCTCACCTGGATGAGAATCTTGATTTAATAAAGTATTTTCCATACCTTCCTGATTTTCTTCTAACTGATTGATATAAAAAAAGAAGAAATTCAATTTATAATTTTATAAAATTTCTAGTTTTTGTTTTACCTTAGAAGTCATAATAAATTTTTCAAATAAATTCTTCTTTCCAGTTCAATAACATGATCTACAATTAAAAAAACATTAAAACACAATTCACCTTAGCGTACAAATCATATCCTATCAAATATTTTTTAATATTATACATGAGAAAAATCAATCAAGCATAACGAAATGTAAGCGTCATATATAATTAAACTCATGATAAAACAAAATGTCAATTACATGTATAAAAAAAGACAGTTCAAAAGAACGATTTATTTTTTTCGTGATTTTTTTAACGGAACTTTTCCTATTGGCTTTTTAGCTAATTTAATCATAGCATCTTCTTCAATAGGAATATCATCTTTTTGTTCTTCTTCTTCTTGCTCGTCTTCTTCCTCCTCATCTTCATCCATAAGTCCTTTCGATTTTTTTAATTTTTTAATATCAACTATTGCATATGGTGTACGATGATTTGTTTTATTATAATTTCTTGTTAATGCAGATTTCGTTTGTGTATCAAGTTGATCATATAAATTTTTACCAGTTTTACCCCATGTATTTAATTCCATAATTGTTTGTAAATCATCTCGATTAAGATAATAATCATCTAATAATGAAATACATTGTTCAATAGCTATTTCTTGTGTATTTTGTTTTAATGTTGATATAAGATTTCGACTTAAATAAGGTAAATAATCAAGATTAAATTGTTGTTTATTAGCTGATGTTGTTTTAAGACAAATATGTTTTTCAATTTCATTTAATAATCTTTCATTTTTATTTTTACGAGAACGTTGACCAAAAAATGATGAAAAATTCACCATACTACGAAGATGACCACGAACATATGAACATGGGGCAACCGTAGAAAAAATTGCCTTTGAAAAAAATAAATTATAAGAAAAATAAATTTCTTATGGTTAAGTTAAGTGTGCTCGAAATTTGAAGTGTACGGATGTCTAAGTATTCGTGAAAAACTCTAATGATCTGTTTTTGGTTGCTCTAATAGATACTCCGGACTGTACTGGTGCTGCTCAAGAAAAAAAAGCACATAATTACAAGTAGCGGCGGCGCCAGGAATTCAGACTAGGGTTAGGCATGCACGAGTTCTATAAAGTCGATAAAAAAGATGAATAATTTTTGCTATATAAAACACCCAGTCTTCTAAGTCATTTAAACTCACTATCGATCAGGCTATATAATGCTATTGTTAAACTTTGAAGAATTAGTCGGGAAGAAAAAAGAACTGGGGGTGACTGGTAACAAATCGGAAGTTTTTGGTTTTTTTACCAGTCACCCCCAGTTCTTTTTTCTTCCCGACTAATTCTTCAAAGTTTAACAATAGCATTATATAGCCTGATCGATAGTGAGTTTAAATGACTTAGAAGACTGGGTGTTTTATATAGCAAAAATTATTCATCTTTTTTATCGA